GGTGGCCCTAGTCCACTGTGACTTTCCCAAAAAAGAATTTTTACCTTCTCGTAGCCCGATCCCGATCATCCGGGTCAGACGCCCGAGGGTGGGCGACGGCTAGCACCACACTCCTCTCCTTAAAATCCCTGTGTGGTGGCGGCGTGCCGTCCTCCCATCCCTCCCTTGGCCTGTCTGTTTTCTTTCTTTCTTTTCGATCATCCGGCTCGCTGGGTGCGCTTCTCAGCTCCCCGGCCCTGGATGTGAGGTTACTGACTGCACTCCAAGTGCTCCAAGTGCCCCAGCGCACGGGACTGGCGCGCACTGGCACTGACACAGGTACACCTGGGAGAGCCCGCCTGCACCATATAGCTTCCGATCGTGTGTTTCGGTACTTACTCGAACATGGTCGCGGCGAGGGCCAGGCCGCCCTCCCCGCGCATTGCGCGCACTAAACCAGTGCGCGCATGCGCGGCGAGAACCAATGCAGCGATGGACATCTCGCTGCAGGCGCTCGCGGGGCCCTGAGGGAGGGTGTAGAGGATGTAGAGTGTAGAGCGCTGTAGAGCTGTAGAGCTGTGGAGCGCTGTAGAGCTGTAGAGCTCTACATCCGCCGCGGGACGAGGCGCCTCCGTTGTAGAGCGATGTAGAGCGCGATTTTGCTGTAGAGTTTGTTGTAGAGGCTCTACAGCCAAACCGCCAGGAAGGCAGTGACTCAAAGAGGTCGAGTCGCACTAATGGGGTGTCTCCGAGTTTACTGGAGCTCTGATGAACGGCCCTGACTATCCCTGACACACAGAGAGTCACTCTGACGGCACACAACACCCTATAACTGCGTCATGACCAGCCTGCCATGCGTCGCCGGTGCCGCATTCGTCGCTGTGCTTCTTTAGCAGGCGGTGGACTGTCGGCTGCGAGGACGGTCGCATTTGCGTGAGGCGAGGCGAGCATTCAGACGCGTTGCATGCGCCATGCCTCGCGCCAGCGCGTGCGGGAGCTCCTGGCTGAGCGTTGAGTCCAGGCGAGTTGCGCTGGCCATGATCGATGCGCCAAGCCGAGCTGACGCGCCGAGGCGCCGGCCAGTCGCAGCCGTGATGCATGCCACAGCAGCAGAGGCACCTGCCACCCATTGGGCGGGCAGACAGAAGGCCAGGGCAGCACTGGCAAGTGCAACGCGCCTCATGTCGGAGAGCGACCGTGCCTCGTTCGCCGCTTATGATGTAGAGTTTGTTGTAGAGATTTCACGTTGTAGAGCGCCTCTACATCGCTCTCCCCCGGAGGCGCCTCGTCCCGCGGCGGATGTAGAGCTCTACAGCTCTACAGCG